GCGCCTGGCCTGGCGGGCAGCCACCGCCGTCCTCTGTCTCTCGGCGGGGCTTTCACTTTACTAACGGATGTGCAAAACGCGTTGGATAACACGGGGGTCCTGGGACGGGGACGGTTCTGCAGGCTTCCCGGAGAGCCCGTGGCAGGTGATTTAGACTTGCTGGCGATTTTATTGTTAGAACCTGTTGCTGCTGTGAATTCGTTAAGAAAATTGTTTCTGAAAGTTAATCGAGCAAAGCCAAAGTAAGAGCGTTTTTGGAACTAACGCAGCTCCCCTTTTTCTGCTCTTTGCAGAGGGTCGCCGGACAGGGACGGACTCGTAAGTATTGAAAGGGACCCCGTTCACCCCGCTCTGCTCGGGCTGCTTTGCGTCGGTCTGGTTAAAAGCTTTGTCCTCTGTAGACCGATATAAGCACTCTGAACGATCTCTCCTTCCATTTAATATAGAAAATAAATTTTTAAAGCCTGTTTTACTAAAGCTATTTCTTTTTTTAAAGCAGTAACATACTTGGGGGTTTCTACAAAATCTACCTAATGACAATCACAGCAATGCAGAAATCGTGACTGCTATATATATATGTGTGTATATATATGTATATGTGCGTATGCACTTGACAAATTCGGTGTGAAAACAGGTCAGGTATGATGCTAAATGATGCTAAGATAGCACATCCTTGCTTTCGTTTATGATAATCAAGTTGGATCAGGTTTTCTGTACAGTGGATTAATCTAAAATTGCTTTAAAAAACCCCCCCGCTGTTTTCAATAGCTCTTTATTTTCTATATTAAATTGAAAATAAGAGAATAGGCACTTTTGGATCATTGCTGCTTTTATTTACGGTTTTAGATAGCCCCGGGTAGCGGGAGGATCGTGTCTCCTTTAGCCGTTTGATTTCAAGCTTGCAAAGAAGCATGTTGGGTTCAGGCTTCACCGTGCGCCGCTTCCGAAGAGACGTTGCGTTCGGGCTTCGGAAGCTCACGCTCCAAGTAAAAAAGGAGGGACGCGTTTTGGGGGGCTCGGCAGGAGCGGAGGGGCCGCGGGGGCCCCTGGGAGGCCCCAGGCGCCGGAGCACCCGGCATGTCCTTCGCGGAGCTGTACAAAAATTGGCCGCTGCTTTAGAGGTGCCGTGCTGCCACGTCTGACCCGAGATCCTTGGCTTTGGGCTAGCCCTGCCTTCGTGAGCCCTTCGTTACTGGCTGTTAGGAAATAGCAAATTAGAAAAGTTAAAAGCGTGCAGCTCAGGTAGTGCTTTAATCAAGGCCCTATTCAGCCGGGCCGGGCGGGGGGGGGAAAGAAAAACGCGACTTTCCACCCAAGTGCACGGAATAAATTTGTCTCCGCTAGCTTCCATCCTTTTCTATCATTTTGCTTTTTTTTTTTGGGTGCGTCTTAGCCGCTTGGAGCGCCCCTTCTTCGCGCGGGGGTGGTCAGGCTGCTTCTCCTCCCCTCTGGCCCCGCAGCCCGGCTCTGCG